CTCGGGTATAGCCCTCATCCGCATGCACTCTCACGGGCTACACCACTTCTCTATCTGATACTCATGCGCTCTCTCAATGCGGCGTACAGCGGGACTCTACCCATTACTCAGGGTTCCCCATCACATAACCTAGTCTATGCTTATCTCTCTTTACTCTTTCTCATGTTTGCTCATCTCTTTCTCAAGCTAGTACCATATCAAGCTACTACTCATAATGTAGCTTAACTCTTAGCTTTTTCATCTCTGTTTATCTATTTCTTTTCCTTCTCATTCTTACTCATTGGAATGTCACGACCTCATCTGACGGAGGCACGGCTGGGGCTACCACTCTACGTGCTTCTGCTCAATTCGCTACCGATGGATTTAGTTATGCATGGATTCGGAACCTTTGGCCTATGAGTGTACAATCTCTCTCTCTCTGAATGTCACGGCCCCATCTAACCGGAGGCACGGCTGGAACCTCGTGTTCCACTGCGTGACTTACTCGTCACTCACAGGTTCCCCATCGCAAACTCACTCTATCTCCTCTTCAACTCTTGTGCACAAGATCTCTACCCTTTCTCTAGCTACTCATCACTAGCTATCATATAATGTGCTTAACTCTTAGAGTAATTCTACTCTTCTCAACTTTCTCTTTGCTATCAGAGTATTCTCATTCTCTTTCTTAAGAGGTTGCTATTCTCAACATTCTCTACTCTTCTTACTCAAGCTATTGCTTATAATATAGTTATACTCAAAATTTTCACTCTTAAGCTAGTACTCATAAGGTGTATACTCAACATTCTAATTCTCTCTCAAGTACTTTTAATGCACAACTAATGCATATGGATGGTTCATACTCATTAATGCACTTTTGAAATGCCAAATGCAAGATTTCCTCAAAACTGTCATTCTGCACAGGTCACACTAAAAAGACCATAACTTTCATTATACACCTCTGATTACTACGGTTCGGTCTCGTTTCAAAGCTTAGAACAGGGCTATAACTTATATGTTTTGGCTCAGCCCAGTTCAATCCGTAACATGCCCAAAATCACTTAGAAGTTAGCAGTGACAGGGCAGATTTCACTTAGGCATTTCATCAAACAACTTATGTGCATATAAAACTCTTCTCTAATACAATCTCCTTCTCTTTTTAAACCATCAGAATTGGAAGTAATTCCCTTCTATGGGCATAAACCCATCATAGAAAAAACACTCCCAAATACATACTCAATCTCCTCAACTTCATCTCAAACTATTACTCAAAACACTCTCCATAAAGGAAATATCAAAAAAATAACATAAATATCTCTCAACTCAATTTCTCAACAAATAAAAAACAACATCTCTACTCAATTCTCAATAAGCATCATATATACATGCATAAATAAATCTCTACTTAAGAATTTCTTAACTTTAGCTTGAGTTGGATTTACTTACTCATACTTGAGTAGTCTCCACTAAAGCTCTCTACTCTTGTTGGATCATAACTTTCTCTTATTCCTAAGCATAAACTTAGTAAGAACTTAACCCTTACATGCATAAAATTCACTTAAAGTAGGGATTCTTCCTCTTCTTGCTTAGGATCACTTCTTGTCAAATTCCAACTCAAAGCTCTCAAAAATCCCTTAGAAAATTGAGGGAGAAATTGAGAGAAAATGGGAGAGGAGGCGGTGGAAATGGGTAAAATGAAGGGTTTAGAGAACTCAACCCTTATTAACTCATATAATATCCACTTTCCCATTTTGCCCTTACTCTTTCTTGAAAATTCCATCTTATCCTTTGATTCTTTACAAATACACCCCATCTAAACACAATCTCTATAAATTTCCTTTCATTTACTCCACTCCTACTAATTAGGGGTGATGGTCATTGTGTCCCAAAAGAGAATTCTCAGAAAACTCAAGAATCTTTTTGCCGTCCCGTCGCCGCGGCGAAAAACTTCTGTCGCCCTGGCGAAATAGTCCAGAACCAACACCACCTACACAAAATCACGTCGCCGCGGCGAAGCTTCTCCTTCGCCCCGGCGAAGACTGAAATTCCAAAATTTGCTAAGTCTTGATCAATTCCAGGGTACACACTCAACCAAACCCAAAACCTAAACTCAACCAAAGAACATGAATCATATATAAACTCATTTAGGGGCAATTCAGGATTCCTTTAGGCCATACCATAAACAGTGGCTACGTATTTCAAGTGGGGTATTACATCATCCATTAGAGTTTTATTGAGTAAGTTATGGTCAATGTACTACTGACTGTTCAATGGAAACCAAAATGTGTGTGATGATAACAGAAAAGATTCGGAAGTGGGGCTAAAGTTATCCAAATTAAGCATATAATATATAAAATTAAAGCCCTATCTATCTAGTTTTCAAATATTTAAACCGTTAATCAATTGGATTTCTATTGTCTAAGTTATGCCTAATTTACTACTGAATGTTCAATAGAAATAGAGAAACAGGAGAAACCGAAATGTGTGTGATGATAAAAGAAATAGTTCGGTAGTGGGGTTAAAGTTATATAAATTAAGCATATAATATATCAAATCAAATCCCTATTTATCTAGTTGCTAAAGATTCAAACCTATCGTCAATTAGATTTTTATTGCGCAAGTTATGATCAATTTATTACTGACTGTTCAGTAGAAGCCAAAATGTGTGTGATGGTGAAAGGAATGGTTTGGCAGTGGGGGCTACAATTATCCAAATTAAGCGTATAATATATCAAATTAAAGCCTTGTCTATCTAGTTTCTAACGATTCAATCCTCTTATCAATTGGATTTTTATTGAGCAAGTTATGATCAATTTACTATTGATTGTTCAGTGGAAACCGAAATGCGTGTGATGATAAAATGAATAGTTTACTTAACCCAATTTTATGGGATTATCGTATTAGGACTAATAAGAAATATTTCAAATAACACCTATTAATTGGAAAATGGAATCAGCCAAAATTAATTCATTTAACATATATACTCGCACATCAACATGACATAAACAATAAATCATTCATATAACAAATTAAAATACACGAATGTTTTTACAGAAAACATATTTAACACAACTGAACTGTTTCTACTAATATAGATATGACACATACTCACGGTTCCACTGACAATAAGATCATCCTCGATTTGATTTTAGTTAAGTACATGAATATTTCCTTGAAAACAAACATAACAAAATTTAATCGATCTTCATGTTAAGATTTTTCAAGGAACAATTATTCATTTTATAACAACTGTTACCTGAAAACGAAATCAACAAAAGTTAATTAATCTTCATAATAAAATTGTTAAGGAATACACTCACCGTGCAACAAGACTAACACAATTAATCATTCTAATAGATTGATCTAACAAAAACAATCATTCAATCAAATAATATCCGTTAAAATAGTTAGGAGATATACTTACAATTTCGTATTGCAATAGTTCAAAGATATGCTTACAGTTCAGAAGAACGAATCAAAATAACAACTCATTTGACAATGTTAATCGGATATCCTGCCTTTATTCCATGTCAATTTATGAATCTTTGACTTGTAAACAACAACAACAACAAAGACATAAATAAATAAAAAAAATTATCGATTAATAAAATCATGAAGAACAGAAGTATTATTGACACAAACTAACATGACCTATAAACAATTAACAAAAGACCAGACGTATTGTTGACACCAACTAACATATTGCAATAATACACAACTGGACATACACCCCTTTTATAACCCCTTATTTAGACATTTTGAATGCCAACACAATTAAATACGAATTGAATACGAAGAAATGTTTGCAATGTTAATACAAGACACCTATATAATTATTAATAAACATATATCCTTTTACTACCAATGCAATGCACCTATGTAATCCAATCTTTATGTCTATTTATTTAGACTTTGAAATATCAATGCAGCAATTAATATTGTCTATATTATCACCAATAAAATTCAACCACATGACAATCACAAATCCAAGGTGTTCTTATGGTTAGACCTTTAGAATGTCAATACAATGCACTTATATAATTAGTGTTATTATTAATTATTAATACAACAATGCAATGCAACTATGTAATTGTAATCCAATCGTTATGTCTATTTATTTAGACTTTGGAATATCAATGTAGCAATTAATATTGTCTACATCATCACCAATAAAATTCAACCACATGACAATCACAAAGATAAGGTGTCATTATGGTTAGACCTTTAGAATGCTAATGTAATACACCTATATAATTAAATTGTTCAAATTTTTTTAATTAATTAATAATTATAGATGAAGTAATAAATACTAATCCAATGATTCAAGATAAAAGCAATTTGATTGGCTTATCAATCCAATGTGTCAAAATGGAACAATTCTAGAGCTTTTAAAATATGCCATATAACGAACAACCCACATGGGTATTCATGGCGAACAATTAGCATGAGTATTCATAAATCTTACAGCTAAAAATATCTCATTAAATCACACATCTAACGTGGCAAGAGAGCAATTCTAGAGCTCCAAAATAAAACAATTTTAAAGCTAAAAAAAAAAAAAAGTGTCATATGTGTCACTCAAATAGATATGGCTTTACTTTTGAATTTAGAATACCAATTTAGCAATTAATATCTCTCTACAATATCACCAATAAAATTCAACCATATAGCAACATATTCTATGTGTCAAAATAGAATAATTCTATGAGTTCTAAAATGTGTTTATTCAACTTTATATATGTGTGTTTGTAATATAATGAGACATCACACGTTAAACATTTAAGAAGATTCTAGAAAAGGAAAAAATTGAAGGCTAAGATTGTAAATGAAAATATCTTGTGCCAATCAACCTCAACATATCATCCCGTCGTCATCTATGAAAAGTATCCTATCAAATATCTCACCTCCCATCATCATTCAATTTCTAACTACTAACTTTTTTTTTTTTTTTTTTTTCTTAATTCCTCCGGTCATTGCCCAAACTACCCCTGCCCCTTGTTCCTATATAAATAAATATCTCCCCTTCTCAATATCTCACGCTTCAATCTCTCAGTCTCACACTCTCACTCTCGCTTTTCCTTCACAAAACGCACCGTTTCACTTACCCATGGAGACTTTCTTTTCCACGCCGATTCTCGACCAGGAGTCGTCGGCCCTTCTGAAGACCATTTCGGAGCACGGCGGCTACGCCTATGTCAGCATGGTGGCGCAGGCCGTGGCCGGAGACACACGCGCTGCGGAGGCGGCGCGTGAGATGGCGTGGGAGCAGCTGCACTCCGGGCCGTGGCACTCCGTGCTGCCGGTGTGGCGGGACGCGTACTCGATGGCGTGCCTGCACGTGGCCACGCATCATTGCCGGAGCGGGGAGTTCAAGGAGGCGCTTAGGGTTTTGGATATGGGAGTGATCATGGGAGGGCCGCTTCTGAGGAAGGATTTGGACTCTGCTATCGAAAAGGTGTCGTTTAGAGCTAGAGGAGAAGGTGAAAATGATGAGCGCTCTGGAGCGTCGTCGGAGAGTAGACGGAGATTAGTCTCCGAGGAGGAGTTTGATAAAGCTGAGGTGAGGTTCGTTTTTCAAATTTATTTCTTCAACAGTAACGTACAGCCGTACTGGCCGGTAACGGTGGTGGTAACAATGCACACTTTTATCATTTTAATAATTTTTTATTTGCATGTAATATATATATTATAATTACTAAAACAAACAAATATATATATATATATATATATATATACACACATATATCGGGTTTGGTAACGTTACTGGTCCTGTTACGCCAGTAACATAACAAATGATATTTCTTTTATGAATTAAGGCGAAGTTGCGGCAATGTTGCTGGACGGGTATTGCAATATTATCCTTGTTATATTACAATTCAGCACTAAATTTAGATTTTTTTTCTCGAATATGTAGTTGCAATCATACCTTTTTTGGCTATTAAAATGGTTAATTTTAATTTTTTTTAATGGTAAAAAACTAAAAATCATGTTTTTCTATGTATCTGAAATTTAAAATTTGGCTTATTAGTGTTTACATGTTGCAGTTGAAAGATCTGAACCTGAAAACGTATTTGACTAGTGATGGTATTGCATTTAATCTTTCAGCTGCTTCGAATTTTGCCGAATAAGTCTCTATCTTGTAAGATTGTGGTGAAGAGGTCAGCTCTATCTCTGGAGGGATTTCTGCGTGAATACTTTCTCCCAGGTTCTCCAGTTATAATTACTGATTGTATGGCACATTGGCCGGCCAGGACGAAGTGGAATGATATTGATTACTTGGAAAAAGTCGCTGGTGACCGCACAGTTCCAGTTGAGGTAATTGATTTTTCTGTTATTTTTGTAAAATCTAAGTGTATTTTGCTTGAGTGCTGGGGTTATAAACTTTATATGCTAAAAGAGTTTTTATTACTACTGAAAACTGGTAAAGTTTAAATGCATTGCAGGTGGGGAAAAACTATTTATGCCCAGAGTGGAAGCAAGAGCTTATCCCATTTTCGCAGTTTCTTGAGAGGATTCAATCGACTGGCAAATCTTCCAATGTGCCTACATACCTTGCTCAGCATCCATTATTTGATCAGGTATGTGTCGCTCTGAGATTTTGTAATGATGTTGAACAGCCCATTGTTTTGAAATGCATTTAAACTTTTAACTTATTAATGATATACTTAAATGGCAGATTAATGAATTACGCAAAGACATTTGTGTTCCTGATTACTGTTTTGCTGCTGGAGGGGAGCTGAGGTCTCTTAATGCTTGGTTCGGTCCAGCGGGGACAGTAACACCCCTGCATCATGATCCACATCACAATATACTTGCTCAGGTATATTTGACTTCATATTATGCATAATCACAACATGGAGCTCCCTTCTGGATTTATTTTTGTCATCGACCTTGTGTCCTCCTGATATTCTCTTAAAGCCATATGTTCTTATAATGCATTTCCCTTGAAGTAACGTTAAGTACTACTAAAAGTTGCTCACATCTGGTTCAGTACTTCAATATGGTTCAATAGACATGTAACTAGTTTTCTATTGTCCCACAGAATGCAAAAAGGTCAGTTTAAACTGTATAGTATGGGATCCCCTAAAATAGTCTTTCAGGATTATGGCTCCTGTTGCTAACTTGTTTATCTCATCATTATCCTTCCTGGAACCCAAACTAAAATACAATCTTATTTACTTTCAGGAAATCAACCACTAATTTGATAAAACCTCTGAAGTTCTTAGGACTATGGTACTTGCCCTTCATCTGAACTTTCATGACCAGCCTAAATGTTTAACATATGATAATTAGTGAGGCAATTATCCAAATAACCAGGTGGGTCTCCAATTATTTTTTTTCTTGGGAAGTGGAGACTTGTACCGTATCCAAGTAACTCCCAATTTATAAAATTGTTGCATTGGGACTGTAAGTACTAGAGTGAGAGAATGTTTTCTAATAGTGAAAGAAGTTGGATGACAAATGCTTGCATATGCCTTTTTCTGTAACCTTAATGCTGTAGTTAGATTTTACCTTTTAATAATGCATTAGACAATATATAGATTGGTTCTGTAAGCCTTGTGATTATTTAATATAAATATATAAAAATAATGGGCTAAACAGTCCTCTGCCTCTTTATTTTCAGGTTGTTGGTAAAAAATATATAAGGCTTTACCCTGCTTCACTATCAGAGGAACTTTACCCATACACGGAAACCATGCTTTGGAATTCCAGCCAGGTATCCTGCTAACTTGAACCTGTCTCAAGACAAATGAATCAACTGCAGGATTCTTCGTACTTTTTTGGTGGTAGTTTTCATGCTATAGTTGCAAATCTAAACGTCAAATTTGAAGTATTTTATGCACATAGCCCTTTCCTCTGTTTGTTCGCACAAGTAATATGGAACAATTATATATGTTGGTACGGGTTTTCGTCAACCTGGCTGATATTAATTGTGAAAGGGTTGCCTTCTATTTTAGTTTTTGTTAGTATGAAATACTCGCAAACCGCAACTTATTATCATCCATTTGCTTTTAATTTTATATCTTATTCTCAGAGGTTTCGTTAGAAGCATTTCTAGGAGACATGATTTTGGGTGGAGGATTTTGATGACCTGTGGAAAGTTGCAGCAAATATTGGTACATTAGTTATTTTTTCCGGTTTGTTTCTTTTAGAACTTTTTGTTAATGGGCCATGTTTAATGCGTGCAAAGAAAACGGTAAATACTTCCCGAGAACAATACCATTTTCAGCATCCCTCATTTTATGTTTCTCATTTGTAGTAAAACAAATATGCCATTCCATCTTTTAGGCATTTCAAGTGTCCTCCATCCTACCTTTATGAAAACCTGTTTCTTAAAACAATGAATGCCATGCATCTTGCTGTCGCACTCTGACAAGTTAAATGTTGATATTCTTGTTTGAAGGTTGATCTAGACCACATAGATGAAACACAATTTCCAAAGGTGAACGGCCTAGAGTTTTTTGACTGCATTCTAAACGAGGGCGAAATGATATACATCCCGCCAAAATGGTGGCACTATGTGCGCTCTCTTTCCATAAGTTTGTCCGTTAGTTTTTGGTGGGGAAGCAACGCTGGAAGTTCAACCTCGTCCTGACACGGTATTTTGTTTCTATGTATTCTACTTCGTCATAGATACAGAGTCAGGCTCAACGTCATCTGATATATTTGTTGTTACAGTAATAGTGTTATGTATAGAGACGTTTTGTTGTTAGTTGATATATATAATCAGCTGCAGAATGTTTTCAGAATAGAACTCTTTAACAGGATTGAATTTTGACATTTTCCAGTAATTTATGAACATTTATAACAATTTAATGATTTTATTGTTTGTTGTTTTTAGCTCCAATTGAGTATGAAGATTGGGGATTCTGCAGTGAGTTGAGATTAGGTAATATGATTAAAAGACTTAAAATTAAAGAGTATGAGGGCTGTTATATTAATTATTTTTGTACATCGAGTTTGTACTTGAATATAAAGCCGAATTCATTTGATATAACCGATTGTGTTGGTCGGTAGGTAGGTATTACATTGATTATAGGATAATAAAATATTTATATTATTTTTGTATAATTAATATGGTATTGATGTATTAACAACCACTCATTTACACTCAAAGTTGAGATCCAATTTTATAAAAATATTATTAATAAATTAAATTTTACAAATGTGAAAAGTTAATAGATTTCATAGGGGTATTTCTCAACCCTGAGATTTAATCAATTAACAAAATTCCATTAAGATTTTAGAAATCTATATTTACTATATTACCCTTTTACCATTTATTTTAAAACAAAATGGTAAGAGAATTTGTGTTATTCCTGTAACTACATAGGTAATTTTGTTGTTTGATTATATCTTAGGGCGATGATTAATTGATTATTACAAACCCAAATTTATATATTAAATTAAGATTTGAAATATCCTTTTTGAGAATCGGAATTGTGGATTATTTATTCATTTTTATAAGTTTGAGAAGCCCAAGAAAAGTCTACTTTGGAATGGTGGGTCTTGGAGATCTAGAAATACTTTATGTATAAAGATTCTCATAATATATGACAACTATCACGTGGTGTTATTAAAAGACAAAAAAAATCGGTTCAATCATACGTCTGACGTCTCCTTCATGCACATGAGTGAAGGTTAATCACAAGTTCATCCTTGTAGTTTTCATCAACTACAGTCGAGTATAGGTTTCTCAAAAATAGATCCCAATTTGATTTTTTTTTTTTCCAATTTTATATACATAAATGAATTAATCATATGGAAATAGAGACTAGACAAAATAAGCTTTGAAGCATGTGAAGTTAAATGAAAAATGGGTGAAAAGAAGATTATTCGGCAGTTTTGATATTTAATCAAATAACAAATTTCTTTTTGAGATTCTAGAATTAACATAAAACCTCTTATCATCAGTGAGCCGTTATTTCATCATTAGAAGTTATAATATGATGGATTCATAAACATTTACTTAATTGCTGCTCTATCATTTATTTTAACACCAAAAAGTTAACAGCATGGATGATTTATGTTACTTTTATAACCATAAGGATATCTTTGTTAATTAAGTATACCTCAAGGGTATTATTGTTGGGGTTATAAAAACCCACCCCTGGTGGCCGAGTGATGTGATAAGAACTTTTTTGGTGTATTGCTCAAGACGTACTAAGTTCGATTCCCCTCCCGATCGTTAACTTTAGGGTCCCGAATGACTAGTTGCAGTGTATGCAAGTTGACCCGGACACCTCCAGTTACAAAAAAGAAGGGGGGTGGGGGGGATTATTGTTACTAGACCTGGCAAAATAGATGGACGGACCAGGTGCGAGTCGGGTCTAAAATGGGTATGGGTCTCACAGGTACGGGCCCAATATTTTGGACCTGCACCCTACCCTATGCAGGTATGGGTGGACCTGCGGGTGCCCGTATTGTTCACTCTAGTTTTAGATTTTTACAGTTACACCCCCAAATATTTTCTCCCAAGTTTTCTCACCAACCAAAACCAAACATAAACCCAAAACCAAACAGGTGCCAATCACAAACCAAAACCATATACACACACACATTATTTTCTCCCAAGTTTTCTCACCAACCAAACAGACAACTAGCACCTAACAAAGAAAAAGATAAAAAACTTGTATCAAGCTATAAGTATATTGATTTTCGACAAACTAGTATCAAGCTAAGGTTGAAGATAAATCGACTTAACCGGTATCAAAGCAAAGGTCAAATTGCACACAAAAGCTTCAAGATATGGTAAGAATTTACATATCCAAAGTCATTAGGAAAACTAGCCTTCACACCCTCAGTGGTTTAGGATTTCATCTAGATCGCACTTTCCTTACCCTATACTCCATTGATTCATACACTATTTTTTCTAAGGAATTACTTTAGATACTCTGATACTCTTATGCCAGTATGATATTGGTATTTCCTTCCCTGTTGAATAGACCTTAAATTACCTCTCTGACCTTCCGCAACCTTGGACAGACCAAAAAGATGGTGCTCTTCATGGTTTTTATTCCCTATCGTGGTGGTTTTCTTCCTTCAAGATTTACTCCAACCTTCAATGTTGCTAGATTGTAGCCGAGGAGAAGCTGAAGATGCCGGAGAATCAACTCCAAGAATTGGAGCTGTTGAAGAGTGAAGAGTAAAGACGAAGGAGATGAGATCAAATCGGCGACGGTGATACACATACCTTGATGTGCCGTCAGTGGAGACTAAAAACGTGGCTGATGGGAAGTAGAGATAGGAGAAGCGGCAACGGTGGAGTTAGGGATTTCGATGATGAAGAGTTTGAGAGAAGACTGATGAGAGAGTGAGTTTGAGAGAAGGCTCTCATGAGTTAGGTTAGGGATTTTGCGATTTGGGGCAAAATGAAAAGGGGAAATTTGTTTTTTTTAACACAAACGGGTACCCACTTGACCCATTGGCAAAACTGGTCGGGCTGGGTACGGGTCAAAAAAACGAGTCCAATATTAAAGATCCACACCCTATATTTTTTATCGGGGTTTAGGGTCGACCCACGGGTCTAGACCCGTTTTGCCAGGTCTAATTGTTACTAACTCTTATCATTATTTGTTAGGAAAAGGGGAAAAGAGATAAGAAGATAAAAGAATAATAATGGTATTTTAGAGTATGCACTATAGACCACAGGAGATCAAGGACAACAAACCTTTCTTTTTCTCTTTGTTTTTTGCCTGAAAAAAGGAGAAAAGGAAACCCCTATTTCAAGTACTTTGAAAAAGGTTTTGATCATCTTTAAAAATTTAGAAAATGTAAAACTTTTTTTTAGTGCAATCCCACCTTCCTTTACAAAAGAATATGCAACCACGCCCTACCCTTTGTCAAAAGAAAATGAAAGGCTATCTAGTTTTATACGCAAAAGAAATAAGAAGATAAAAGAATAATAATGGTATTTTAGAGTATGTACTGTAGATCATAGGAGATCAAGGACCACAAACCTTTCGTTTTCTCTTTGTCTTTTGCCTGAAAAAGGAAGAAAAGGAAACCCCTATTTCAAGTACTTTGAAAAAGGTTTTGATCATCTTTCAAACTTTAAAAAATGTAAAACTTCACTTTTAGTGCACATCCCACCTTCCTTTACAAAAGAATATGCAACCACGCCCTACCCTTTGTCAAAAGAAAATGAAAGGACATCTAGTTTTATACGCCAAAAATTTTTTAGTGGGTCACGTGTATATGTCACATGGATAGGAGTGTAGACGAGCCGAACTGAGTAGAGTTTTCAGCTTAATGAGCTTGGCTTGTGTGCTACAGGATCGAGCTCGAGTGCAAATCAAGAAAAAGGGGCTCGAACTCGAGCCGGCTCGTGAGCTCCTAAAACAGAAAATGAAGAACTGTTAGCATTGACCCAATTCATCAATGTGTTAGTAATTAAACGTTCAAGAAAACCAAAATGGATTCAAAGCTCACTGAGATGCATATTAAAATTCTTCCCAGCTCATGAAATATTTTTAACAAAAACGGTTTACTCACCAAATTCTTCCTTCAATTTCTGACCGGCGACAGCAAGAACACGTGATTAGGGGCGTCACTTTCATGGTGGACCGAATATTTGAGGGTTGAAGTGGATTTGGGGGTTTACAGTTTGTATCGATTTGGGGGTGAAGAAATCATTTCAATGTTTGTGGGATGGAGTCGTCGTTTCTCCGACTGATTTTTTGATCGGTGACGGCTTTAAGGCAGGATGAAATTGGCTGATTCATGGTGGAGGGGTTTAGGGTTTGTTTGGTTAGTGTTTGTGATTTGGGGGAAACTAATTTGGGGGAGAAAATGTCGTGTTTTACTATTTTCTAGTTAGGGGGTAAATGTTATTTTTTGAAGTTTTTTAAAAGCTCAGTTTTTATGTGCCCCACATGGTTTATAAAACTAACCCAAAGGTCCCTACGATGAGTTCGAGCCACACCGGGCTCGCAACCAGACGAGTCGAGCCTCCCCCTGTTCGAACTCGACTCACTCACCCCACCGAGTTCGAGTCGAGTCGAGCTCTTAACGAGCTTCAGACGAGTCTAGTTGAGTCGGCTCGTGAGCCGCTCAACTTGTCTGACAGCCCTACACATGGATATTATGTATGATAAAATGATGCGATAACTTAGAACATCAATTATAAACTTAAGGTTAATTTCATACGTCCCAGAAAAATACTTAAGTCAAAGCACTTGAACGATTATTCGAAACTATCAGATTCCTCTTGCTTATAAGAGTATTTGTTATTTTCTAAAATATTTTGTGATAATTTTTTTGAGAATTTTTTGTAATGTTAAACGATATTTAATACTTTCCAATTTTGACGTAAATATTACTAAATAACACAAACCTTATAAATTTATGAATACACGAGTAATGACATATTCTAAGATTCTCTTCCTAAAATAATCCAACATAAGCATGAATTTGAGGCTGCAACCAAAATTATTTATTAGGAAGGAGATTATCGAGATCCAACAAATTTATAATTTAGTTGGTGGATTGGATTACAAGAAGCATGAACATTTTGAAGCTTTTCTGGCCATTAAATTAATTTTAAGCCTCAAAAATTGAATTTTTGCATTATTAGAATTTATTGATTGTTTAGTCAAAATTGGAGTTCCGGAAATTAGTTTTTTTAACAACACTTTTCTAGAGATTCACTCTTTTTAATATGAAGAATGTGGGGTTTATATTGTTCAAGGTTAGAATTAATAAATATTAAACGTTTTCTTATAGAAGTACATACATATTCACTGTTATGAGATGGTCGAATAGTCCTAGTCCATTGTGACTCTTTTATAGGTTATTCAAAAGGTTTTAAAT